GTCGGATGAGTCGGGGTCTGGATCGGGGCCGGGCGGGCGGGCGGGCGGGACGAGGCTGGGCCGGGGTCGGGCCGCCGCCTCCTGGCGCCCGCCGGACCTGCCACGCGCCGCCGCCGCCGCCGCCGCCGCCGCCGCCGCCGCCGCCGCCGCCGCCGCCGCCGCCGCCGCCGCCGCGCGCACCTCAGCGAGCGGGGGCCAGGGGCGGAGCTCGATGCGGACACACCCCCGCGCGCCGCCGCCCGGCCAATGGTGGGGCGCGCAGTGCGCCGGCCGGCGCGCGCCGCCACGACGCAGCCAATGGCAGGAGGGCGAGTGCGCCGGCGCGCTGAGGAGCTGGGCCAGCGCGGGGGAGGGGCGCGGTCGGGGGCGGTGCCTGCGCGGCCGCCCGGCGCAACGTCAGTTTCGCGGGAAGCTTTGTGCGGGACGCCACCCTAGAGGCTCCCAGCCCCGACCCCCTACCCCGACACCGACCCGGCCTCCGCCCTCGCCCCCGCGACCCCGACCCGGCCCCCGCCCTTCAAGGAGGGCGGCCTGGCTCCGCGCCCCGGGCCTTCCGGGCTCTGCAGGTCGGGGTCCCTGCGGGACTGGCTGCGGCTGCCGGTAAACCGTCCCCCTTCCTCGGACAGCGGGCAGGAGGCCGGAGTGGGGACAGGGACCCGGAGCCCAGGGGCCACTGTGGCGTAGGGGCTGGGTCCAGTGCCACAGGCCCGCCCTCCTCCTCCCTGGCCGCCTCCACACAGGGGCCCGGATCAGGACCCTGTAGCCCAGAACCGGTACCAGTTCGCGGCCTGGGTGCACAGCAGGAGGTGAGCAGTGGGCGAGAGAGCGAAGCTTCATCTGCCGCTCCCTATCGCTCGCATTACCGCCTGAACACGCCCCCTCCATCCGCCCCCGCCCCCGCCCTCGGTCTGTGGAAAAACTGTCTTCCACGAAACTGGTCCCTGGTGCCAAAAAGGTTGGAGACCGCCGCTATACCCCATCCTCGGGCTACACCAGCCTTCCCTGGGCTTCGAGCCGGGGCGCTGAACAGCCTGGGCCAGGTCCTTCCTGAACAGGAACTCCAAGGGCTGAGGACTTTGGCGGGGCTTTACCTGTCTCCTGACAACCACTCCAGCGGGCTCTCACCCCCAGCGCCCGATGAAACCACTCTACACCGGTGCACCCAACAAATTGAAAACCCCTGTTCTAGCGAGGGAGGCAGAAAAGGCCCGTGACGTGTGAGTTATATGCCATGTTAAAAAGTGATCAGTGCTGTGGGGAAACAAGTAGATCAGCATTAGGGAGTTGGGGATCCAGGAAAGGTGGTGGGCGGGGTAGGCCTCATTGCCAAGTAATTTGAACAAACTGGGAGGAGGAGGAGGAGTGAGCCATGTGGGCTCTAGGGGAAGAGCATCTCCAGCAGAGAGAAGAGCCAGTGCCAAGGCCATAAACTGGGAACACATTCGGTGTGTCTGAAAAGTGGAGGTGGCCACCGAGAGCAAAGGAGTGCATGAGAGCAACAGGGGACAAGGCCAGAGAGGTGGAGGATGGGAAGAGGGTCATGCAGCCTCTCGTGAGGACTTTGACTTTCACACTCAGAAAATTGAGCCACTGGAGGATTGGAGCAGAGGAATAGCTATTCAGTGCATCACACTGGCTGATGGAGACAATGCCAGAAAGAGTGGAAGCAGGCAGGCTGTTTAGGAAGCTAATGCAAGCACCCACCCAAGAAACGATGATGTTGGGACACCTGTGGTGGCAGTGTTCTGTAGCAGTCAGGATAGCCCTGGTTATGCTGCAGTAACCAACATCCCTCAATTCTCAGCAGCTTAGCAAAATAAAAATGTATTTCTCCCTCAGGTTGCACGTTAAGGTTATAAGGCAGTTGAATATGTGAATATGGCGTTCAGGGAGGTATCCAGCCTGGGGTACAGATTTGGCATTCATTAGCATACTTGTCATATTTAAAGCCATACAGCTGGATGAGCTCACCATGGGAGGAAATGCAAATAGAGAAAAAGAGAGGAAGATTGAGCCCTGGGTACTCTCATACTAAGAGAGTATTTGAGAAGAGAAGGAGCTGGTAAAGAGCATGAGGATGTCAGGTATGAGGGAAACCAGGAGAGGGCAGTGGGCCAGGAGCCAAGTGAAGACAGTGCTAGAGTGAGCGGGAGGGATCAGCCTTCTCTGATGCTGCTGAGAGGTCCTGGTCAGTGGGCACTGGGAATTAGTCAATAGAGCACGCAGCACGAGGGCACTGGTCACCTTGACAAGTAAGTGATGGAGGAATAAGCCCAACTGAACGGGCTAAGGGGGAGTGGAAGGAGAGGCTTGGAAACCTTGAGACTGACAACTCTTCTGGGGTGTTCTGGCTGAAAAGGAGCAGAGAAACGGCCAAAGCGAGAAAGAAAAGGCAAGTCCAGAGAGAGTGTTGGTTTTATAGTGGGAAAGGAAGCAGCATGTTGTCCACCAGCGGGAATGAGCCCATGGAGGAGAAAGAGGTGAGGCAATTGCCTGAGAGGGGAGGGCGGGGGCTGGCCTCTGACAGGAGCCTGGGTGGTTCAGCTCAGCCACAGCTTGAAGAGGAGTCTGAGAGGTGAGTGGATGTGGGTGTAGGAATCTGGGGGGTTCTCTTCTGATGAGAACGAGGCCATCAGTTGAAGGTGAGAAGGGAGTGTGGTCCAAGGAGAGAGGACCAGGAGGGAACTAGGAAAAGACAGTAGGGTGGCCCAGCAGTGTCAAGGGGACCCATCCGTGTGACTGTGTGTTTTCCTCCAGCCTATTCAGGCTGCTCCCGAGGAGGCAAGGAGCAAGAAGAGCTGGATTCAGCCAAGACTGTGGTTATGCTGGGCGAGTGCGGTGAGGTGAGGGCGAGAGAGAGCGAGCTAAGAGAGGGATGCTTGCCCGGGGCATCTGAGCTCAGCAAGTAAAGAAGAGAGGACACCAGAGGGGGCAGATCCGAGGGTTGGAGGTCCTAGTGGGTTCAAAGGATTGCTGATAGAGGGAGTGAGCGAGGACGGGAAGTGCTTCAGAGACTTTTGCAAGGGGCTGCAGGTGCTAGGGGTGATCGTGTCTCTGTTACCTGCTGATCTGTGACAATCCCACCCCCCCAAACTTCATGGCTTAAAACCACATCAACTTATTATTTTGCACAATTCTGTGACTGACTGGGCATCTTCTGTTCCCCACTGTGTCAGCCGGATACCTCCTTCTGTTGGACTCAGCTGGGAATTTGCCCGGAGCACCTCATTTTCTTCCATGTGACCCTGGGTGTGGTGTACCATTATCCATGCAGGAGAGCTGGACTGCTTACCATGTGGAGGCTCTGCTCTAAGTGACAGGTCCCAGTGGGCCTCTGCTTGAATCACACCTGCTAGTATCCCACTGGCCAAAGCAAGTCATGCAGGCGAGCTTGGAGTCCGTGTGGGAGGGGTGTGCACAAGAGCATGAGTCCTGAAAGTGTGGCGCGTTGTGGGGGCTACCAGTGGAACAGGCTGCCCCCCACCCGTCCACCCTCTGACCCCTAATGATTCATGCTCCTCCCACGTGAAGACCCTAGAACCACCACCTCACCATGGCTCTTGGCTTATGATGTGCAACAAGGCCAGAGGCAAGTTGTCTGCCCCCCAAGACCCAACGTTCCAAGGGGAAGCACAGGATAAGTGAATAGACACCCGATTCAAAAAGGAAAAGGGGGTGTGCCCCCTGTAGCCACAGGTGCACAGCAATGTTGAAATCCAGCAGACAGCTGTCACAGTGTTCCTTTAAAGGCTTGTCTGCTCCCGGCAAGTGGTTCCCTAACGCACCCACCCTTTTTTATGGCTCCCAGTGGCTTCTCCCTCTGCCTCTTGGCCCTGCATGCTTGGTCATCCTCCCTTTTCCATGGGAAATGGGCCCTGTTTGCTGCTGAGTAGCTTCCTCAGCCTGCTTCTTGCCTGGAGACAGTTGAGAGCCCAGAGGCCTCTTTTATTTTGAACTTTGTCCATTGTAGTTCAAGCAAATACAACCCCTAAAAAAAACTTTGTGGATTTTCTAGGTATCAAATTATAACACATTTTATTAGACAGAAGCTACACTGCAAATATCTTTGAGCGGCTCCTTTCTGCTGTGGACGTCGAGCCACGTGCTGTGGCACAAAGACCTCAAGATGCCTGGAGGCGCTTCTGTATGGCTGACAGCATCTCTGAGGGTCCCGTCCCCTGGGAATCTTCAGAGGTCTTAACAAGGGGTCATATGTCATGCCCTTGGATTTCTTTTAACCCTGAGGTCGTGTTTTGCTGCAGTGTCCTGGATTTGATCTTCCCCGTGATGCCATTTCTTACCTTGAGAACCGTTGCTGCCTGGAAAGGCTGAGACTGAGAAATAGTTTTTATCTTCCAGCTGTGGGACCTGGCTTGAAATAGTTCCTCCAGCTTCTGCTGGAACATGGAACATTACTTCTTTAGTTCATTTCTCTTTTCTTTATTTCACTTTAGCATAAATGACTGAAAGAAGCCAGTTGGCCCTTTAAGCTTTCTGCCAGGAAAATCAGATCCTTAGATATATTTTCTGCCTTCCCCGTTAGCACAGGCAATGGTGTCCCACTTTTCCGCCAATACCTGACTGGGCTCCGCCCTTCTCGGGCTTCCACCAGCAATGTCCTTACTGCCTGCCAGGTCCTCCTGCTGCCTGGTTCCAAAGTCAAGGCCACATTTCAGAATTTTGTGATGGCAGCATCTCACTTTTTTTTTGTTTTTGAATTTTTGAATTTTATTTTTTATACAGCAAGTTCTTATTAGTTATCTATTTTATACATATTAGCGTATATATGTCAATCCCAATCTCCCAATTCATCCCCCCGCCACTTTGCCCCCTTGGTGTCCATACATTTGTTCTCTACATCTGTGTCTCTGTTTCTGCCCTGCAAACCAGTTCATCTGTACCATTTTTCTAGGTTCCACATCTATGCGTTAATATACGATATTTGTTTTTCTCTTTCTAACTTACTTCACTCTGTATGACAGTCTCTAGATCCATCCACGCCTCTACAAATGACCCAATTTCGTTCCTTTTTATGGCTGAGGTAATATTCCATCGTATATATGTACCACATCTTCTTTATCCATTCGTCTGTCGTCGGACATTTAGGTTGCTTCCATGACCTGGCTATTGTAAATAGTGCTGCAATGAACATAGGGGTGCATGTGTCTTTTTGAATTATGGTTTTCTCTGGGTATATGCCCAGTAGTGGGATTGCTGGGTCATATGGTAATTCTATTTTTAGTTTTTAAAGGAACTTCCATACTGTTCTCCATAGTGGCTGTATCAATTTACATTCCCACCAACAGTGCAAGAGGGTTCCCTTTTCTCCACACCCTCTCCAGCATTTGTTGTTTGTAGATTTTGAGGCAGCATCTCACTTTTAAGTGTCAGTGTCTGTTCCAGGTATGTGTGGCTGCATAATAATGGCTTAAAACAGCTGTTGATTTTCTAATTATTCCGTGACGAGATTGGGCTCAGCTGGTTGACTTTTCTGCTATTGGCTGGTGGGTAATTTGTCGCAAATTCTCACCATCAATTCCTTCCCTCCCTGTCAGGTGTGATGCTCCATCCTCACTGGTCCTGTGACTGTTTTGGGGGGGGTTTTTTGGCCACACTTCGCAGCTTGTGGGATCTTAGTTCCCTGACCAGTGGTTGAACCTGGCCCACGGCAGTGAGAGCACTGAGTCCTAACCACTGGACTGCCAGGAATCTCCCTCCTTTGACTGTTTTTTTTTTTTTTTTTAAATTTATTTTTGGCTGCGTTGGGTCTTCGTTGCTGTGCGCAGGCTTTCTCTACTTGTGGCAAGTGGGGGCTACTCTTCATTGCAGTGCGTGGGCTTCTCATTGCAGTGGCTTCTCGCTGCGGAGCACGGGCTCTAGACATGCGGGCTTCAGTAGTTGTGGCACGCAGTCTCAATAGTTGTAGCTCACAGGCTCTAGAGTGCAGGCTCAGTAGTTGTGGCGCATGGGCTTAGTTGCTCCGCGGCATGTGGGATCCTCCCGAAACGGGGCACGAACCCGCGTCTCCTGCATCGGCAGGCGGACTCTCAAGCACTGCGCCACCAGGGAAGCCCCCTGTGACTGTTTTGATGCACTTAATCTGGTAGAAAGTTCTGGGACTTCCAAGCCCAGGCCAGAGGACTGGCAGCTTTACCTTCCTCCCTCTTGGGGGCCTGCTCACAGGTAATCAGTCTTACTACCTGGAGACGCTCATGCTGTGCAGAACCCCAAGCAAACCATGTGGAGAGGCCTCAGGGCAGGGATACTTGAGCAGCCCCCAGCTGTCCCAGCCACCCGAGTCAAGGTGCCAGACACCAGCAAAAAGGACATCTTGGCCATTCTAACCCAGGCAGATACCACACAGAGTAGAAGAGCCTCCCAGCTGAATGCAACCTAGTTTTCAGAGTAAGTAATAAATTTGGATGGTTTGTTATGCAACAATAGACAGCTGAAACAGCCAGTGTCCCTCACGGAGCCACAGTCAGGATGTGTGAGTGAGGCGAGAAGTCTGAGACTCTTACGTCCAGGCTTTCCCTTTCTCTCTAGGTGATCTCTCCAGAGGAGTAGCCAGATATTGTCACATGGCAACTCAGGACTGTCAGGGAATGAAAACAAAAGCTGCCAGCCCTTCTTAAAGCCTGAAACTGGCATGGCATCTCTCTCTCTGGCAGTTCAAGCAAGTCAAGGGGCCAGCCCCATTCAGTGGGAGGGGTGGAACCCACCTGCTGATGGGAGTAACGGCATGAGTGGAAAGGGGTGAGAGAAGTTGTTGGGTGACGTTGTTCAGACAAACCTAAAGCCACAAGAGGGGCTGCTGAAGCCAGCTGGGGAAGGTTCTCAGAGGACAGGAGTCAAGGGAATGAGCACTGCCTTGATCATGTTTTTTATTTTCTAGATTTTTGATGCTTTGACATCTTGAGGGCCTTACACTGCCCTTCCCAGGCTGGCTAATTCCTAGAGACAGCAAACAACTCACCCACCAACATACCTTTCACGTGCAAACCAACCGATCCAGAGCCCACACCCCAACCACCTCCTGTCACCAGTACACCAGGCCAGTATTTCCCTGCCTAAATCACCCAGGGCCAGGTACTGGACCACTAGAGACCGCTGAAATTATTCAAACTATCCAATCCTAGACTTGCTCAAACTTGCGTACCCTGCCTCCTTCCCACTGGAAACACGGTAAAGGCTCTGGCCGAGCTCTCCTCTCCCTCCTGTTCCTGATGGCACTGGCGCTTCCCTGTGTGTCCGTGCACGGTGTGGCATGCCCCACTTGGGAACTGTAAGTTCTAAACTCTTCTTTCAAGGCAGTTGGCTTTGTGTCTGTCACCTTACCATGGCTGATTAAAACAAATCCTGGGTTCATGTTAAGATAGAGGCCAGGAGGTTGAGGTTGGAAGGAAACCTATGTGGATTCTGAAGTCAGAATTCCTGCACAAGTGGTACTGGAGAGAATGACAGTGAGTGAGTCAGGAGCTGAAATCCCCAAAGAATAAGGGGGGCAGGCCTTGGCTTTGAAAGTAACAGCAAGAGTGGAGGGGGGAATGAATTATTATTCTGAGAAAATGAGAGTTAAGGCTGGCAGCTATTAGGGCAAAGGGGAAAATGGTCTGGAAGTGGTCATAAGGAGTCAGGAGAGCATCCACCCTACCTGCAGGCCCAGAGGTACAGGGGTTGTACGAAAATAAACATTTACACTTTAGAGCCTCCAGGGGAAGCCCGGGCTCCATGAGAGCACGAGGAAAGGAATGTTTAGAGAAAAGCGAAGTCAGGGTGGTGATGATGGTGGATGAGGGCACACCAGCAGAGCTTCTGGAGGGGAGAGGGGGTCAGAGGAAAGGATGTGCAGAGCCCTATAGGGTGCGATTGTGGGAAACAGGTGTGACCTGGGGTAAGGTCACCCATTTTCTGCCCCCATCTCCTTCATCTCAGCAGCAGCCAACACAGCGTCTCTCCCTGCCTCCTCAAACACTTCCTTTTTGATTTCTGCCATGGACACTTGTTTTTGGGGGCTGCCCACTATCCTCCCCCATCCCATGGGCACCCCAAACTCCTTGTTCAGGGAGTTTGCACAGTCCTGACAGGAAAGTGTCAAGCTGGCCAGTCAGACCCTCCCTCCTGAAGCATCAGAATCCCTGGTAAACCAGGTAGACCTGGCGCCTGCTGCAGACCCCTGGCCCTCAGGCCCTCCCTGGCTGCTGCCTTTCCTCAGCCTGGCCCAGTGGACCCCTCAGCCTGTGAGGCCCCTCTTCTTTTGCTGGAGGGCTAGATTACCTTTCTGTGGCTTTCACCCCCACTTCTGATGTCATCAGTGTCCTGAATAGAGTTACCATCTACAAACAAGGGTCTAACAAATCGTTCGTCCTTTGTCTCCCGCAGACTCATGCCTAGAAGTGCCAGTTCACTTGGGTGCCTAACAGGCACCTCTGACTCTGCCGGTCACGATTTCTCCCCTTTCCCACCCCCCAAACAACTTGAATCTAGGCCGGTTGTCTCCATCAAAAAAATGCCACCCATTCGCCCAGCTGTTCTGGACAAAAACCTGGCCTCACCTTGACGCCCTCCTTAAAGCAGCCCCATATTTAACCTGCCAGTAGGCGCCCAGCACCTTCTCTAAGCCAGGCACGGCCTTCTCTCTCCGAGACTCCCGGATTTGCCCTCGAATCCGCCCCTGGGTATCGAGCCCCACCCCTCACCTCTCCCTCCCGCTGCTGCAGGCCAAGCGCTCCCCGCCCCGACACAAGCCCATCCTGGAGACTTCCCGCAGTGTAGAGACACTGCCCGGTGGAGACCCCGGGGCGGAGCCTGAGAGGGGGCGTCGGCCCGGCCCGCCCCCTCCACAGGTGAGGCAGCAGGGGGCGCAGGTGCGTCGGGTTCCCGCGGGCTGCGCCCGAGCTCCACCCTGCTGGCCGGGGCGGGGCGGGGGAGGGCGGGCTG